ACGGCTCTTATATCCTACATGTTCCAGGTCTCGGCGAACCAAACCACTTGGGAGGATGTAATTACCCACCCCAATCCCCACCATTTCGTCTTCAGCAACGCGTCGGCAGCAGCCAGAGCTTGCAGCTGGCGTGGCCGCGCCAACGGCTGAATGGGCGAGTGTCGAAAGCACGACGCCAGCCAAGTAAGGCACTGTTGACTTCCAACGCACGTTCCAGGAAGGTGCAATGATTGGGCAGACGATCTCAGCAGAGGTCGGTTGGCCCGGTTCAGCCATCGCCCTGAAAGTTGCATGCGCTTCAGCCCTGCAAGCCTGGCGATGTCGGGCCGAGGCATTCAACTGTGTCCGATGCATGCGCCCTGGCGTCCGGAACATTTGGCAGCAGCTTCCGTCGTCGCTGAGCCAGCCTAGCCTGCATCCGACTTGGCCTTCTGAGCCCATTGCTGCCGTTGCCTTGTCAGCCAGAACAACTGGCAATGTCAGCCAGCCGCTTACACAAGCCGCTCTGACCAGGAAAAAGTGCAGTCACCGCATGCCAAGCTGTTCACAACACAGCGTGCATGGTGACCCTAGCATCAGTAGTAAGGAAAGGCAGCTTATACTACCCTAACTATTTTGGTTTTTTGGTCCAAAAACGCTCCAAAGCAGCCAAATTTCGTCCAAAAAACGCTTGTCACCAGCGATGTCACCGCTTCGTCACCGCTCCGTTTTTGGAGCAAAAAGCGCTGAAAACGGCGAACTCCGAAAAGTGCGTTTTTCGTGTCCGGCGTCAAATGTGCTGCCTGGGCCTCCAAATTCGCTCGTTTTCCGCCGAAAACCGGCTCCAGGTGTTTGCCGTGCTCCGAAATCCGTTTTCTACCCCGAAAAGCCTGCGAATTCCAGCCCGCTGAGCTTGTCACCGCCGATGTCACCGGTCTCTAACACGTCAGCCTGCCGAGGCACACCGCAGCCCATGTCACCGGTCTCCAACACGTCAGCCCGCCGAGGTACCGGGGAGGAATCGAACCTCCGAAACGTTGCTCCGGAGACCAACGCCTAAGCCATGTCACCATAGGCTCTCGTTACCGTCCCAAAACGTGGCCCAAGAACGGTCTCACCGCGAGGGTTTGGATGGAAAGAGAAGCCGATGGGAGCGGCGCTCAGCTTCCTGGGCCAGAAGCTGTTCGCCAGCTCCACGCTGATAAACGCGAGGTGTGAAAACATCTCCTGCTGCACCTCCGTCGCAGCAGTCCAGCCACCCATCGTTTGCCGAACAGGTGGCTTCCTAAAGAAAAGAATGACGACGATCTACGTGGACAGCCGCAAGAGGGTAGCCGGCTTGGACAGCGACTTCGAGGTAGACCTGGGAGAGTCTCTGCACCTGCAGAGCGATGCCAGGCTGGCCGTCTATAAGATCACTGGGTAGACGCCGCGCTCGGCACGCTGAATTGGGCGCTCCTTCCGGAAGGCGCCTGCACGGGCTCCCGGCTGGCAGCCTGGATCAGCTCCAACTTTGCTACTGCTACCTATAGCGAGACCACGAACAGCCTCAGCGTAGCCTACGACGGCAACCGCCTCATTCTGAACGATCTGGAGCTGCAGCAGCAGTTCCCTAACGTTGGACTACCCCACCTCGCCGGCCGCATCGCCGACCAAGCCCTTCAGCATCGACCACATGCGCGGACAGCAGGTCTTTGAGTTCGTCCGCATGATGGCGTACAGCGAGGTCTACCTCCGCTGCCCCCAGCTGGCCAACGCCAGCCGCGTGCTGGGCAATCTGGGGGACGACATCCTGTCCAAGATAACGCTGAAGAGCGGCGTGGGCACCATCGTGGAGACCGGCTCCGATGACGGGCACTTCATGGCCGTTAGGGGCCCCATCAGCCTGAGACACCTGCGCTTCCGGCTGACAGACCTGGAAGGCCAAGTCGTTCGACTGCGGGGTCGTCCTTGTCCTTCGTGCTTTTTGGATCACGTTTCATTCCCCGAAGGTCTTTAAAAAAAATATTTTCTCTTAAAAAAACCGATGAAGCAAGCGCAACCGGCGCCAAGGCCTAGAGGCAGACCTCCGGGTAGTAGAAACAAGCCCAAGCCGCCCGCACCTGGCCCGCACCAGGCCCGCACCAGGCCCGCACCAGGCCCGCGCCAGGCAATTGGAAATCCGACTTTGGTGTGGAGCAAGGTCGGATTTCCGACTTCGGTGGAGAGAATTTTGGCTCTTAGGGTGATCAGGGGCGGACCCGGGAGGAATCGAGCCCGAGACCTTTTTAGGAACGGCTTTGAGACAAGCATATGACTACTGGCAGGATCAACCAGGTTTTCCAAACCCTCGCGGTGAGACCGTTCTTGGGCCACGTTTTGGGACGGTAACGAGAGCCTATGGTGACATGGCTTAGGCGTTGGTCTCCGGAGCGACGTTTCGGAGGTTCGATTCCTCCCCGGTACCTTGGCGGGCTGACGTGTTAGAGACCGGTGACATGGGCGGTGACAAGTTCAGCGGGCTGCCGTGTCACGTGGGAGAACCTCGACAGAGCACCTCGGCGGGCTGCCGTGTCAGACCCGGCGAAATCGGCGGTGTGCCTTGGCAGGCTGACGTGTTAGAGACCGGTGACATCGGCGGTGACAAGCTCAGCGGGCTGGAATTCGCAGGCTTTTCGGGGTAGAAAACGGATTTCGGAGCACGGCAAACACCTGGAGCCGGTTTTCGGCGGAAAACGAGCGAATTTGGAGGCCCAGGCAGCACATTTGACGCCGGACACGAAAAACGAACTTTTCGGAGTTCGCCGTTTTCAGCGCTTACTACTGCATCTGCCCTGCAACCCCACTCTGAAGGGCGGGTGATGAGGCCTTCGGCCCAGCTGGTTCGCTTTTACTGGGGTTGCCTGAAACACTGAAGGGGGGTCAATGTGCCTCCTGCTCCAGGCGCACTAGTGCCCTGGAAGCAGTGCAACTTTCAGCAATTCCGGTAAAAAGAACTGCGGCCGCTCGGACGAGCTTTGTTCTTTTGAGGTTCCATGTTTGGGTTCAAGCTAGGAGCAGCGCGACATGCCTTAACGCTTAGGGTTTCTTTTCCCTTGTGTTTAGGGCATGTGGTGAATCGAACTAGGCGTTGGCCATTTTGCTCCTAGCCTTGACCCAAACCTGCGGTTTCATTTCGAAACCCACCCACCCACCCTGCATTGCCCTATGCCAGGCTTTGCCAGGATAGACCGCAGTTTCTCTGCACTTCTGTGGGTCGCCTCCGGGCACTGTGGTCTCCGGACTAGGTCTCCGGACCAAAATCGGTCTCCGAGTCTCCGGACTGTCGGTCTCCGGACCTTGGGGCGTGGGCACGCGTGCCGCGCCCCCCCAAGCACTGCATTTACCCGCAAGGACACGCATTGTCTGGCCTTTTCACATTTCACGGGGGGTCAATGTGCCTCCTGCTCCAGGCGCACTAGTGCCCTGGAAGCAGTGCAACTTTCAGCAATCCCGGTAAAAAGAACTGCGGCCGAGCTTTGTTCTTTTGAGGTTCCATGTTTGGGTTCAAGCTAGGAGCAGTGCGACATGCCTTAACACCCCCGTGCCCTATGTGTTATGTGAGATACCAGACGCCCATGCGGTTCGGGTGGGCAAAGCCAACGCATCCCGGACCGAGTGTTGGTGCATTTTGTGCTTGATGAGTGGTCCATCTACGTAAGCTCTGGCATCTGGGCCACGCAGAAATCTGGGCAAATCCAAGTCGGCTGACGCATTCCAAACGGCAGCATGTGCTGAGTAAAATTGCAGAATCGTTTATCAGTTTTTCTTCTTCTCTTTTTCTTCTTTATTTTTACATATATATATATATATACATTAAACACGCAGGTATTTTCTTTTGATCTGGCTTCGGACCTGCGCGTTCGGTTTCCTGCTGGCATCGGTCCACCTGGGGGAGGGAGGGTGTGTGGTCAGAAGTGTTTGGAGCAGCCCGCGGCCCGTCGCAAGGGAAACCAAAATTGATTCAGAGGCGAATTTTGGATTCTTCCTGTTCTTTTTTGCTGGCAGCCAAAGGGAAACCCTGTGTCGATCAATGATGCGCCATGATGATAACCATGACTGGCTTTCTGTTAGGTCGCACGTAAACCCCCTTTGAAAGCCCATGAATTGCTCCGCTGCAGGTCTTTTGGCTTTGCAGGGGGGCGGTTCAAATGCACACGGCCGGCATGCGGGCGCACAGCAAATAATGGGATTTCAGACTACCACTTTGACATTCCCTGCCACATCGAGCATTTGAAGATGTTCCAACGAAAACCGGAGAACGGTTGATCCGCTATGGGCAGTTCAATGTGTGTTGTTCAGGACGTGTACCATTCCAATGGCGGGCCGGCCTGGGCGATCCGTATTGCTGCTGTTGAGCTTGACCGTGATGCTGGTAGGCTGGCTGTCGCCGCAGTACGACACTGAGCTGAAGTTTATTGAACAAGCCGCAGATAGGCTCCACCAGAATTCCTGAACAAGGTTGACACACAAGCAGGGAGTGTCACAAAGTGGGCCCTGCGCCACAGAATTGGGCTCGGGGGGGAGTTCCGAGATTGAGAGCCTGCGTTTGATTGGTTTAAGACGGGAAGCTGGTGATTCAAGCACTTGCTTGGCCGTGTTGGCCGCCCGCTTTGGCTTTGAGTTTCAATTTTGGAACAGTGTCGATGCCCGGGGCTTTCACTGCATCTGGTTTGTCCTTGTCCTAGTTTTTTCCAAGGAGTGTCATGACTCACACATGTTTTCCCAGGAAACCCACTCGCAACGAAGGGGCGCTGTATCCAAAGGGAGAAACACCGATCCAGCGGCATGCGGTGTTCCTTTTAACTCCTCATTTTCACCAAGTTCTTGTTGCTGAGCCTTTTTGTCTCCCAAAAAGAAGCGCTTCTTTCCTGCGCGTGGGTCGCTGTACGGGTCCTACGCCAAATAGCTCAGTCTCAAAATCTCACAGCTGCATTTTTTGGAGCCCAAAAAGAAGCCATCATTAAAATCAGCGGATCTTGTTTTTTTTGGGGGGAGCCAAGGTGGAGAAGTACGGCGCCCTGTCCTTGACCGGCTTTCTCAGCGAGGCGCCCTTTGCCTCCGCGCTCCTGGCCCAGAGCTTCTGGGCGGTGCTGGCCATCGTGCGGGGCCCCCAGCGACGGTGTCTAGATCTGAGTTTGGTCGGAACCTGGTTGACACGATTGGGTGCCGCTCTGCCAGCATCCGCTTCATGTATCTTCCTTTGATTCGATTGACGTAGCTGAAAGTCAGTCCAACTACATAGCTAGACAGCATTAAATCCTGTGAGTGGGCGATGCTGAACTGATTTGCTTGATCTCATGATGCCCCACTCAGAGGTACTTCAGCATGTAATTCTCCTCATGTTGGTTCTAGGCGAAGATTTGTTTTGTTTTGCGAGAGCCCCAAATGGGAGGGCAAACCACCAAAGGTGTTCCCTCATTTTGACTCGTGCCCAACGGTGACGACTTCCTTTCTAGCGCTCGATCTTCATGCAAACGACAAAGCTAGCAGGGCAGACCTTGGCTTTGTGCCACACTCCTGCTGCGGCACTTGCAAAGTTGCGACCTGAACACTTGTGAAACTGACTGATGAACAGTTGTCCGATTGTGTTGCAGCCAGATTGCGATTGAGGGGTGCGTATAGTTTGCACATGGAGTTCATGCACAACATGCCAAGCCCAATCCGTCTATTCGGAGCTTGAGCATCGCAATGCCTCGAGTTAGAGCACTGGGCAGAGCCAAAGTGCATGCGCTTCCACTTCGGTGTCAGACTCAACAAGGATTCCACTTGTGCCTTTTGTTCCACCTGGGCCCCCTCCTCCGCGCGCCTTCGCCGAACTGAGTCCCATGAAGCAGGGAAGGAGCTGGTCTTTGGTGCTGCCGCCTTTGGGGTTCGAGTGGTTCGTGGCGGCCTTGGTGGGGCTCCTATCCCTGGCCGTGCACACCATGCCCCTTGGCCCGGTCAAAGTAATTGTGGTCCATGGGACATAGCCGAAAGATTTCAGCCGGAAACTCCGGGGACTCGGAGGAATTGGAATGTGCTTTGAACCGCACATGGCTGTGGATCAGATCTCCGCTTTGGGGAGGCAGACCTACAGTTTCAGGGGGCACCATATTTCCATCCAAAATGTTGGTTGACCGGTCCTGGTGTTTGTGGAAAGGTAGGGCCCACAATCTTTTTGGGTGTTCATCTAAAAGTTGTGAACGTCAGATACCTGCTTGGGTGGGTTGTGGTGGCAGGACCAGGTCCTTGGTTGATGCGTTCCGCAGACAGGAAATGTGTGTGTAGGTGTACAGTGCAGGATTTGAAAGCTCGTCAAGAAAACTTTGTGCACGCAGGGGCAATGCTCCATGATCCCTCCCACAAACATTATTCCTGACAGAGGGTTTCTTGACAAGAGGAATTTCACCTTCCCAGCACCTGCCGTTGCGTGTTGTAGGCAGGGTCAAGGGGCCTCTTTTTGTCTATTTTACTTTTTGTTGTTTTTTTGGGTCCGCGTTCTACAAAACGAGGTTGGCGCCTATGGCTCATATGGCTCATATGGCTCATATGGCTCATATTAGGTGGTACAAGAGTATGACTGGGACCACCCCGGCCATCAACACCTTGCTGTGGAACCTGGACATCCTGGCGGCGCTGGTGCTGGAGGCGCTGGTGACTTTTCGCTTCCCCAGCGGCGCGGCTACGTGCCTCACCTCCATGGGGCTGAAGCTGGATTAGATGGGCCTTGAAGAACTCCTTTTGGCTTTTGGAGTGGTTGTGGACCCCCCTCCCCCCCGCTTTTTTGGGGTTCGGGTTGGGTTTTGGAGGGGTACCAATAGGAAATCCTACCTACGTGGCAGGTGGCTGACTTTGGGAATCCGCCGAATTTAGGTGAGCAACGGACAACATCGCTGGTCTGTAGTGTGTTGGGGGAGGGCACGTGGGAACCACCCTAATGAGTTTTAACAGGGGCAGGGGATGACAAACATTGTCCGTTGCACATGTGGGTGGTGCAACGAAATTTCGGAACCCTCCTTGGTGGATGGGTGCAAATTTTGGAGACACCAGCAGACCCATGTGAGGGGGTTGGATTTGGGGCTTTGTTTGATGGTCCGCGTAGGGAAATTCACAGAGCGAGTTTGATTGGTGCACGCTCATCGCGTCTCGAGGCTAGGGGGCTGCATCACGCTGCTGGGGACCATCGTGGCCCTGCAGAGCAGCGGCGGAAGGAACACCTGGTGGGGCTGTCTCTTGTGCTTTTCGGCCACCACGCTGTTGCTTGGCCGAGGCATTCGAATCGCACCCTCGGAATGAAGCTTTGCCGGAGAGTGGGGCATCAGAGCCGTTTGGCCTACTGTTTGGCCAAAGCCTCTCAGTCATCGCATCGCCTGGTCCGGAAGATGAATTGGACGCTTTGCGATGTGATCTAAAACAACTCGGGAAGCGGCGTTTTCAAGGCCGGATGGTTTCTTTGCCAGTGAGTGACCGTTTGCTTTGGGTCAGGGGAGTCCCGGTTCCCCTTACGAGGCACAATTCGATGACACATGTTCACGGAAGTTCTGCCAACATCTTAAAATTAAACAGGAGGGGCAAACCGCAGGTTTTGGTCCATGTTTTTCCACTTACCAGGGTTCCATTTCACCGGTTTTTTGAGCCACAGCCATTTGTAGAGGCCGTACTCCTTCTTTGAAACCCGGTCGAACCGGGGCGAAGGCTCGGTTTGGGGGCAGTGACCCTCACCCTCGCCGAGGTTCTCGGCCATCGCCATCTTTACCTCGCGGCTCATGGACCCCAAGTGCCGGGTGGTGACGTTGATGGCCATGGAGGCTGTGGTTGTCAAAAGCCCGGCTCCCAAGTGAATCGGTCAAAAGCTGAAATGGCGGTGATGGTCAAAAATAGGGCAACCCCAACATGGCTTGCCCTGGTAAATGGAAAGAAGGACTGAAGCCAGTGTTTCTTGTTGTTGGTGGATTAATGTTGGCCCATACCCATATATTTTTGACGTCGTGGATGCGAAAAGCTTCGCAGCAGTGGGGATGAGTGGTTTCAAAACAGAGATAAACCACCTATCAATTGGCGCGAACTTGAATCTTATGTTTCTGAGTAGGAGTCCTTTTGTTGGACAATCTGTACTCGGAAGCCAGAATTCATTTACTGGGAACCCAAGCCCAATCAACCTCCAGTGAACGTCCCATTTGAGAGGCAAAGCTTCTCTTTTGCGTGAACACCTCGACCAATCAGCCACCCGGGGCCAGATTATGTGGTGGCAAAGGGGTGGCGAAAATCTGGTGAAGAATGGCGAAAGCTCGAAGTGTCCCTTTGAGCCTGTTGTGCGTCAGAATCAAAATACGATAGCAGACTGTTTTGCGAGAAAATGTCCTCTTCGTGTAAATGTCATGTACACATGTGTTGGTCTGGTCGTTGAGTTTCACAGTCTGAACAAACCGATTTCCGATTTGCCCAGGAGGATCCCAAAAAGCGGGGGGGTGGGGGGGTGGAAGGCGACATTCTGCATTTTGAAGACAACTTTCTTCAGGAATTTTGACTGGGTGCCAGGTGGCCTAGAAACGAAAGTCCACAGATTCGCTCACCAACGATGGGAGGGCGTGCTGAGCCTGGTGGCCCTGGGGGTCTGGAGGGCCTTGTCAGCGGCCACGGCCTACCCCTCGGCCGAGACCTCCCTCTTCTTGGGGCTCAGCGCCTTCGACTTGCAGTTCTAGATGGCTCTTGTTGATGCGATTTTGCGTTTTGCCTCTGCGAAACTGCGATTTTGCTTTGTGCGGCGTTGCCCGGCGGGTCTTGGACGCAGGGGCCCGTCTGACTTGCAACCGGGCCAGCTGATGTTGAACTGGAACCCCCAAAAAATAAGCCGAACTTGGTCTCAACTGTCTTTCATGTTTCTTTTTGGTTTGCTTCTTTTCCGGGCTCCTTTGTTTGGTTTCCTTGGCCTCCGAGGCCAGCTGATGCTGAACCTTGGCTGGCTCTCCGTGGCCGCGTCTCTGGGAGCGCCCCAGGCCGCCATGGCGGCGTGCCTGTCGATGCCTCTGTCCCTTCTGCTGGACGCCACGATGCTGCACAGCTCCGCCACCACGGCGCTAGCGGGGGGCGCTGGGCGCGCGGCTAGGTGTTGGGTTGTTGGTCGTGGCTATTCCTTTCATGGTGTGTGCCATTTTTGAGGGGAGGGGGAAAGGGGTTGAAGGGACATCAACAAGACGCATTTGTGGTCTGTGTGTTTTGCGAGGCTCCATTTCGGGATGGGTTGCAGGGAAGCCAAAAGGGAGTTGCAATTTCCCGGGATGACTTCTTTGCAAATTGTTTCACGATTTGCTTTCTTTCCCTTTTCGAGGGATCTTTGGGAGGTTTTTTGGGATTTTGGGGAGATTGGGTTTTGGTGGGTCGAATGTGAGTTGATCGAACAGTGGCTTAGTGCTGGGTTTTTCAACAGGTGTGAAAGGCCCCAGCCAGGGTGGAATCGCAGAGAGGGAGTCGGACAGAAGAAGCAGGAAGAGACACCATGCCACTTTGAGTCTTGCTTGTTGTTGGGTGGAAAAGGACCGTGTTGTTGATCTCTTGCTTAGTTTTGCTTGAAGAGGGAGATTGCATTGGTACACACACACAAGCGCGGCTCGGTTGGGTTGGTGGGACTGGTCGGTGTCGGTCGTCCGGTCGATCAGTTGATAGTCGGGGGCCGGTCAGTGGGTGGGTAGGTCGGCCGGTCGGTCGATCGGTCGATCGGTCAGGGGTCGGTCGGGGGTCGGTCATGGTTGGTTGGCTGGTTGGTTGGTCGGTCGGGCGGGCTTGTTTTGATTTGTTGGTTTGCTGGTTTGTTGCTTGTTGTTTTTTGTTTTGTTTGGTTTGGTCAGGTGGTCGGAAGAGGGGTGCAACACCCCCAATTGTATCGACATTTTGACCATAAACAGGGCCTTTTGTCAAGCCACAGCACAAATTGACGCCTAACCAATTCCTACTTTCACAAAGCCCCCGCCTAAAATGATGCCGGTTCCAGCCCAAGGGAATTCATTCCCGCTCACTGTTGCTCCACTCCAAACGGATTTCAATCTGGAATGCGTCAGCCCAGAAGCAACAAGGGCCCGATTTTTTGCAGGAAGCAGGCCTTGTCTTGGTGAAACAAGTTGAACAACTGATATGAGGTCCATTCAAAACCACGGATGTAAGCAAATGCAAGGGTTTAGTGTGGTGTCCACCCAAAGTCCACCAAAGCCCAACCAAAAGAAGGTCAGGGTCTAAGGGTCGAAGCTCGAGACTTCGAGAGGTGCAGCTTGCCGGCAGCTTTCTGGTGATCCTCGGCTTCTGCGTGGGCCACAGGTCCGAGCCGAAGGACCCAAACGAGGCGCTGGAGGCTGGGCAGAGCTAAATCCCGGCTGCACCATGGGGGCCGCCCAAGCAAGGGCGGCCTCAGGCGGCTTGCCTGCGCCCCTGATGTTGATCCCTGACCATCTTTTTTTGAGATTTTTTGTCTCTTCAGTGCTGGGGTTTGGCGGAGATATTCGAATTCGGCTGCACACTGCCTCCAAGTGCGGAATGAGAGCTCTCCTTTGTCGGATTGGGGGGGGAGGGTTGGCTGGCAAATGCTAAGATGGTCAATATCCGTTGATGGGTGCTGTGTTTTTTTGTTTGCGCATGTCAATATTGGATTTTTGACTCGGAATGGCGCACAGTCAATGCGGAACACCGTACTTAGATGACCCAATACACATTCTTTTGGGAAAGGCAAGGATCAATGTTGCGTTGGGGCCAATGCTTCATGGAAGAGCAGACACGTGGAGGGTCGGATTTTCCCGGCATGAGGATGGCCGGCCATTTTTGGACCTGGTCACAGGTCTTCTCTGGGTTGGACACACAGCTGCGTGCATCCCGTCGATTGCGAGTTGCTGCTGCGAAGTGGCCTGCAAACAGTGGAGCGGGTCAATACTGCAAGCGGCAGCATTTATGAAACAGGGTTGCAAAGGAACTCTGGGGTGGGCAACATGCTTTTGCATGAAGGCGTCAAAGATTCCGAAGTTCCAGAATGTGTTAAAGGCAACGCCCATTTGCTTAGATCATTGCGTCTCTGATCTCATACAGCTGGAGCATGTCAAATACGAGGCAGAGAGGTTGAGTCAATGCAGACTGGATCAAAGCTGGCTGACATTTTGACACCCTGCAAAAAGCTCAACCCATTTTGGTTTCACAGGAAGGATAATTTCCGCAGACATCTCATGTTTTGTGAATGAGCAGCAGTCAGTATGTACCATTTCCATTGTTGTTAACGCAACGACAGTAGGTACCCCTACCAAACCTGAAATTCAGGTGATGTGATCTTTTTTTCCCTGGTGGTTTAGCATTCACTTTGCCGTTTGCCAACAAGGGCGCAACACGGAGCCATTGCCCGACTGCCCCGTATTAAAGATAGCGCTATGCGGTGCAGAGTTCAACCAGAAGAAAGAATGCAGCAGACAGGCAAGTCTTGCCTTCTGGTGAAGCTGTAAAGGCTGAGTTCGGATGAGCTCAAAGACATGTGCAAATCCGTTGCTGAATGCGAGCCAAGGAAATCCGTGTTTGGCGAGGCAAGCAATGGCTTGCAAGGGTTGGCCACAAACGAATGCCTGCGAAGAGTTCTCCGCAAATACCTTCAGCCTTCGGCTGCTAATGCCCGGCGTCAACAGCCACGCCCTTGGTCAAAGTCTTTGGAACTGAGCGATGGTTTCTTCTCACGGTCTCAGTGCCGCTCCGGAGCTCGTGTGCGCGATCCATCAGCATGCCTTGAGTTGTCTCCAGCAACAGGCTGAGCTTTGCTTGTCTTGTTTGAGTTATTTCTCTCTCCAGTGGTTCTTTCTGGATACTGGCGATGACTGCGGCCTTTTGCTCTGCTCAACATGCGGAACCAGAAGGCACGAGGTGTGTGGTGGAGAGCGGGTATTTATTCTATCTACCCGAGACGTCCCTGCGCAGCTTTCTTGGAACAGGAGAATTCATCTTTCAGCCAGAAAGTTTGAGAGACTCAGCCGGCGATCATGTTCGCTGATTTGAGTGGGGGCCTCCTTGCAATCTCCTGGTGTTTGAGTTGGGCTGAAAGAGCGAATTCTCGAGGCCACAGCAGCGTGATGGACTGTTCGGAGTCAAAAGTTCAACCGGATGTGGTGTTTCCAACAAAGGGGTCCATTGGGGGAGGGGGGCACGGGCGGAGCAGGTGGGGGGGGGGGGGCCTTGGCAAGTCGTGCATTGACTGTATTCATGTTGGAATGCGGCGAAAGGAACATCTTGGCCAGTGGAAGTGTCATCTCCACAGACCAAAACGGAAGCCACCATTTTGGGGGCAGTGTAATATTGATTCCGAGGATTGTGCATTTGGCAAGCTTGCGTAGAAGGTTTTTCGACGCTGACGCTGGTGTTCTGAAGCTTTTGGGTCAGCATGGATTTCACCCATCTCAAATCTTGGTAGAATTCCAGCGTGAGTGGTTGATGGCTTGGATGCATGGAGCTACATGGTATGTCATAGCCGGCTGTTGACATCATTTACTTGCCCGCAGCCGATTCGTCATATATGAGTGTGTATAGAGAGAGATTCATACATATATCATCATGTACATACGCACATCAGACGCATATATATATATATATATATATATATATATTTATAGACATGTCTTCATTCTTTTGTGTTCAACGCCTTTTGAATTGCTTGCTGGCAAACTCCGAGCACAGGGTGGCAAGTGCCAAACGGAAACCCCGTTTTCTTTTTTTGGATTTGGGGGGGCATTCCAAGGCCTGCGGGCTTCGCTTGAGGACTCTTGATATCTGCGAACACCGATGTGGGCAAGTAGGCGGGAAGAAGACCCCATTTTGCCATAATTTGGCTTTGAGTCAAATCTCTGTACCCCTGGTGAACATCAAAATAGTTGGCAAATGGATGTTCATCCACCCCAATGTGGAGCCATAGGTTATGCTTCATGGCCATTTGGCAATGGAAGACCGAAGCACCCGATTCCCTCGGAAAGCTGCTCGCAGCCTTGCGCTCGCTTCCTGCCATGGCGCCCAACACGCCCAGATCTCTGCACGCAGGCGCGCTCGGAGCGGGGGTGAGGTCGGAAGAGTCAAGGGGACATTCAGAACCAGCGACAGAAGCGAGGTTTCGCCTAACATGTATTTCCTTGTGTAGTTTCAGGCGAACATCTTTTCTATTTCATGCTCGTTCTTTTTGCTGATGCCCTTCCGAGAACCAACATGCTGGAACGTGCCTGCTTTGAACGATCTCCTGAATGATGGCACCCACAACTGGCGCAGATTTGATCGTGGAGGTCAAAAGTGACTGGTGGATCCAGTCTGGAAGGCAATGCATGCTCATTGCGCCGCGAAGTTGTTTAAATGGTGACAAAATGGAGTCCGTTTTTGGGTCCCGACGAGCTTTCAAGGGGCGGCACAAGGTCGCACATTTTGCGGGTCATCATTTTGTCAATCCCATCGCAGGCAACGCAAGAGTGATTCTAACCCCCCTTTTTGTTTGGCATTTACAGGGAAGCTAGCAGGAAACCAACCGTCGATTCCTATTTTGGGATTCCCAAGTCGACGCAAACATCATTTCTGCGGCCCATTCTGTTGACGTACGCAGGCGCTGAGGCGGTGATTGGTGCCGGGCAGAGAGTGCGGGGGCTGTGGGGACGTGAGCTTGGTTTGAAAAGAGGTCGTTTATCATACTGCTCCGAAACAAGGGTGTGAATCACAACTGCGTAATAGTTTCCATTTCCCGCCAACGGGGGTGGGGGAAGCCCTGTTCAATCAGCCTGATTGTGACCAAACGACTTCATGCCTTGTGTCGTAAGCATAGAAAACCTCACCACTGAGTTGCAAGGCCCTTCCGCTTTTCGCAACGCTGTGCAAACCACAAGGCCAAAGCCGTTGACAGGACTGGCTGTCTTCCTTCGCAGGCCCATGAGACCAGTCTGGGACCCAAAGCCCCATTTGAGTAGCGACTTCAAGGGCCCAGGCCTTTGATCCGATGTTGGACCTGATGACTTCAGGCAAACCCACTAGCGCTCAGGCCGCAGTTGTCGCTGTGGCCTTTTGATGGGCTCCTTTTGGTGCAGCAGTTCGTTGATTCGTTCGTTCGATTCGTTCGTTCGTTCATTCATTCACTCACTCACTCACTCACTCACTCATTCATTCATTCACTCACTCATTCCTTCCTTCCTTCCTTCATTCCTTCATTCATTCATTCATTCATTCATTCATTCATTCATTCACTCACTCACTCACTCACTCATTCATTCATTCATTCACTCACTCCTTCCTTCCTTCCTTCCTTCATTCCTTCATTCATTCATTCATTCATTCATTCATTCATTCATTCATTCATTCATTCATTCATTCATTCATTCATTCATTCATTCATTCATTCATTCATTCATTCATTCATTTAATCATGCACAGATGCACAGAAACACACATGCACAGATACACACACACAGGCACACACACACAAACACACATAAGCACCACATACAATCACACACACACACACACACACAGACGCACACACACACACACATATACACATGTATAATCATACGCAACACACACACACACAGGAGCAGACATACGCAGACATACGTGGACATACACAGACATAAACAGACATACGCATACATAAATACACCCACACACACACATACAAACACATATACATACACATACATGATATTTCATTACATTGCCTCACCTTGCAGTACACTGCACTGCCCTGCCTACACTACATTGCATGAATATCTATCTATACATTCATAATATCATATATACTTATCACAACGGATCTTCGAACCTCCTGCAAGCGGTGGCTCATATCGGAAGGGCCTTTGGCCACCATGGCCTCCTTGGGCATCACAGGGTGAACTGCAGTAGGCACGGTCCAGGTCTGCAAAGAAGGAGAGCAGCACTTTTACATTGTTGAAGCCTTGCAATTGGGCTGTTGTCATGTTGTGGGCGTGCCGGGTTGTAGAACCTATTTGATGTGGAAATTGGATTAGGGCTGAGGCCAACCACCTTTGTTCTGCCTGTTGAGTCATGTTGAAAGCACTCGTTGACCCGTCTGGTCCCGAGGCAAGGGCCAGGTGGCAGAGCGGCTCATGGGGAAGTTCGGCAAGGCGGGAGCGCCCGGGGCTTCCGGTCAGCGAATTTTTGGAGGTCGGAGGCGCTTCCTTGGACTTCACGAGTGGGGATCCGGCGAATGGTTGGCTGGTGTTTGCTGAGCTACGGAGGAAGCAGCCAGCAAGCAGCCTGCATAGAGTTTGAGATTCCATCTGGTGCCACACCCTCCTTGAAAAACCTATCTTTTGGGTCGGTGGGGGAAGGAATCCTCAAAATAGACTTCCGGGGCAGATTTCCTTTCGACCACCCATTCAAATTACGACAGCAAATGTGTTGAGTTGTGATTACATCCACCTGTTGTTGAAACGCATGGATGACAACAGTGCTTCTGACAACTCCACCAGCTGATTTGATTTACTGCAGTCCCCAACAGCGTACAGCTTTTTGGCTTTTGGCTGGCTCCCTTTCGGAACTGATGTAAGGGATTCATCCCAGGAAGCTTCATCAAACACACCCAAACCCAACCAGCCCATCCCCCACCCTACCCCACCCCACCCTACCCCACCCGCCACCGCACCCCCCACCATGCGACTCCGCCTTTGCTTCCGGAGGTCTGGGCGCAGCCCCCGCCGCTGCCCGCGCCGGAGGCGCTGCCGCCGGCCGGACGCTCCACCAACTGCCACGCCCCAGGCCGCCTGGCGGTCGGTAGGCGAGTTTCAGGGGCGCCACTGGGGGCGGCTTTGGGGGCACGGACGGACGGACGGACGGAGGGAGGGAAGAAAGGAAGGAAGGAAGGAAGGAAGGAAGGAAGGAAGGAAGGAGGAGGGAGGGAAGAAGTCAAGTCAGCTGGGCGTGTTTGACACGGGAGTGTCAGTGTCCGAAATATGTTCGGGCCCTGTTTTTGGGGACCAAAAGAATATGAGGGATCAGATTTGTTTGTCAACGTCCCACATTGCAACAACCTGGGAAAAAGAAACTGACTGACAGGGCAGCAAAAGAATGACTCCCTGTACTTTTCTAAAATATGGGGGTCAGGGAAGGGAAGAAGCAAAGGACAAGAAAATAAATGTGGAAAAGGGAGAAGGCAAGGACAAGGACAAGAAAGAGGAAAAGAGCAAGAAGGACACGAACGGGAAAAATAAACGAGAAGCAAAAGCAGAAAAAGGCAAGAGGCGCAAGGCAAAAGGAAGCAAGCAAAGGAAGACGCAGACAAAAAAAACAGAAGTAACACGGAAGCAGAATGAAGGAGGCGAAAGTGAAAGGGGCGAAAAGGGTTAAAAGGAGGAAAATGAGGGCGTAAAATTACGGCCAGCCCCCATGGTTGCCTGCGCCCCAAACTCAAACCCTAAACCTAAACTTAAACCCTACACTTAAGCCTTCAGCCCACACTTAAACCCTAAATCCGGATCAAAGCGCGAACCCTAAACCCACGCCAAAGCCCCAAACCCAAGCTATTCTAAAGCCCTGAGCTGAAAACCTAAACCCCAACCCTAGTCGAGCTCGTGCAGCCATACTTGGCCGGTGCAGAGCTGCATTCTGTTCAGACCGTGGCGCTGTGGTACCACTCATGCGCTGGGAGCAGACAAGGCTTGGTTTAGCTTTTGGGTTCTAGATTTCAGGTTTAGTTTTAGGGCCTACGTGTTGGTTTAGGGCCTAGCTTTATATAAGGTTTAGGTTTGGGGTTCAAGTCTTGGGACAGACTTTCGGATTTGGGGATTTAGGCCTTGGGTCTCAGTCTTGGATTCACGTCCGGGGCCCTGCTTGAGCCGGTGGTAGCCGTACGACCTGGACGGGGGTGCTGGCAACCTACAAGAGCTGTGGGTATAATCAGTCTACATAAAGCTCAATTGCCCTTGTGGGGCCCGTAAGCTGCGCAAAGGACTTTCCTCCCAGGACTTCTTTTGGACTTGACTTCGGCGGGGTTTCCGGGTTTGGCTGCAGAAGCGCTCCAACAGAGCGATGTTGGAGAAGCCATTTGCAGGAAAGAAGACACCAGTTTACAAGGAAAGAGCGCGACAATCAGACAAAACAGAAAGAATCACTTTGTTCAACTCTTTGCGGCCTCGGGTTTGACCGCAAAGCAAGACGAAGCAGAAAGCGGTCTTGCATCAGTTGAACTTGCAGGTCCATCGTAGCCCGGATCGGCAGCTTCAGTCACAGCAACTCTCAAAATCATTCAGCTGCAGCGCTCCGAACAGCATTCAAGCCAGGGCGAAGCGCTATCAATGGCCAGTGTTTTTGGCTCTTGTACTCTCCCTTTCCGGACGAGTAAACCGGCAAACAGCGATGCCCGTGTTGGAGGGCATTTGCACCTGACTGAGGGGGGCATAGGGCAAGAAAAAGTTTCATCTTATCCAAACAAAAGCTGGCAAGGGATGACATGCTCCGTAAGAATCGCAAGGAGTGGCCACAGTCAAAGGAAAAGGGTTGGTATATCGATGGGTGCGTCTACATCTGTTTTCCCAACACGGTTGTAGCCTAACATTGGCTCAGATCCCTGTTCGGATAGGTGTCAGGGAGTTCACGGAGCAGTGGCTCAAATAAATGTACCAAAGTGGCACCCTGGTAAATGGAACGAAAGACTAAAACCTGCGCAACCCTAGCTCTTTCATTTTGAGCCACACCCAAATGTCAACAAGAGAAAACACACATTTTCACGCCGTCAGAACTCGCATGGCTCAGACTCGGGCGACTCGGAGCGAGGCGGGCACCGCGCGGTGCTTCCGGCGCCCTTCGGGGTGGAGCTGCTGTCGGAGCAGCGCAGCACCGCGGAGAAGATGGCCGGGAGGCTGAGGAATGTCGAGGGCGCCCGGCCCTGGCGCGCCAAGGAGCTCCCGTGCGGGAAGGGAGGGGGAGGGGAGATGGGGAGATGGGGAGATGGGGTGGGTTTGGTTTTGGTGTTTGGTGGGTGAGTGTTTGTTTGTGCTTCTGTGGTGGGCGGGTGTGGTTTTTGGGGGGAGATGTGGGGATGAGAAAGAATTCCTGGCTCAGTTTCCCGCGGTTCGTGACGAGGCCAGCCTGCAAAGCATTTGCTTTGTGAAAACTCGCGGCAGTCAATGGGTGGTCAAACAGACAGACCACTGCGTTCCCGACAAAGGTAGTTGTCCACTTCCAGGTGGAAAAAGGGTAAACTTTTCATGGGTGGTTTGGCAGGAAATGGAGTCAGGAACCGACCCATTTGGGGCTCGCCCAGGAGGAGATGGAAGCGGCGGAAGCACCGCCCAGCGACGCGGCGCTGAGGTGAGGGATGGGTCACCTGAGTCACCTGGGCGGCATGGCGTGGGCAAATTTTCGGGTACCTTTTTGGGATTAGTTGGGGGGTTGGGGGGTTGGACTCTCTGAGCCCGAAGCCGCCCGACCATTTGCCAAGACTGTGTTCGGCCTGTGGGCGGCAAATAATTCCCTGCACGAGTTCGCTGGGACGATGCGTTCTCATAAATCCTGCAGCCCCCCAGCGAGCGGGCCTTCAAAGTCTCGGTTTTGGATATGTCTTCAAAGTCCAGGTGGTCCAGCTGTTGTGCCTTTGTTGCTCCTTGGGTATGGGGTACCTTTAGCTTGAGGCCCCCCCCCCCCCCACTCCTTTTTCCCCTTTCTCTGGCACCTCATGTCTTGGCAGTTGCGTGGGATATGCGGTCAGGTTGGGTAGCAAGCCCCTGCTTGCTGAACACTGGCCATTTCTGCTTTCGGTCTCATTCTTCTGCTTGCAAAGAATATTCCTCGTGGGAATATGAACGAATGAAGTTGTCTGGCTCGTTGCAGTGCCGATCTGGCTCTTCAATCCACGAGGAGCGCGTAAAACGGCATGTTGGAAGCAGGCATTGCAGTGAGGTAGGGGCTTCAAGCTGCCGGTGGGAATGCATTTGAGCCACAATCAAAACACGGGTAGATGAAGGTTAGTAAGGGGCTGTCCCAGCCAGAAATAGTTGCGGCCTCCTTCTTAATTCTTTACATGGTTCTGGGTAGACGATTTCAATTCCGGGTTTGATTATGACGCATTTGGTGCCAAGAGAATGAAGCTGGTAAGCCGCTGCTGCCAGAATCCTTGCCGACGGAGAGGGAAGGTCTTCGTTGAGGCGTTCTTGTTTTCTCCTTTCTGGGTAGCTCTCACTGGGCAACCGTGATGCTAGTCACGGACACTGGAACTACGTCAATGTGGGGTGTGTTGAGGATCTCCTGTGGTCCCCAAAGCTGGTTTTGCTTTGGTTTGCCTTTGAAACCAGGCAGAAAGGCTACCTTAGACACCCATGTGTGGTGACACCCGGCTGTGTTTTGCCTGTCCAGTCACTTCGGCGAAGGGATCCAAAACATGCTCTGGTTCAGCTTGAACAATGCAGTTGCATCGCACATGCCGGGTTCCCATTAGAGTTCTGGAGGCCACAGGAGGCCCTGACGGTGAGACAGTTGAGGAGCATGCCATCCTTTCAGCAATGTGTCTCCCTCGGTTTATGAAGAAAACCACCAAGCGGGGGGGGGGGGGGGTCCCAGCGTGCTTGGAGATATAGGGGAGGAAAGTGCACCTTCAAACTGTTCAACAAGAAGCAGTCGTGTAGAGTCTACCGTACGAATATCCACAAACACACTTGCATCATTGCTGCTTGCATCTATGATGTTACCCGAGACACGCGCAGCACGAACAGTAACACGTGTTGCAGTTTGGAGCCTATGCCTCTCTGTCCACATGGTGTGACAGTTGGCGAGATAGGAACATGCAGATGGGAACACTCTCGGATGTCGGGTCGACAAACGAGACCCCTGGCAGGGCCATGCGCTACTTCATCTCGCGCGCGCGGGGGGCTGGCGCGCACAGGAGTGAGGGGGCAGCCATGAGTCGATTAAAGGCCAATCCGGTGATCAGTAGCCTAAAGAAGTTGCAAAATAGATGAGTGTCCATATGTGTTGGCACGGGCCGAGGTAGTTTGGGTCGAGCCCAGTTCAGAGGTGTCCTTTGTTTCTCAGCTAGAGGTGAGTGGGTAAAGACAAGGGTAACAGTAGAATGGCGGCTGAGTTACTATTTCCTGGGTCATTTAATTAGAACAAAGAGAAGTAAAATTAATATTAAATGGATTTGGACTAAGAATATTTACATAAGAAAAATGATTACAACTAATAAATGAATATAAACTACGTACTTAACTTTAATTTTTACCTTAAATTGTTGGATTAAATGATTAACTAACATTTATAGCATTTAACTTACCACATTTCATGTAACCTTTTATTCAATTATTTGTTATTTCTGATTGTTTATGACTAGCTATACTTTAGAGCCTCCGGCTCAGTCCGCCGACATTGTCCTCTCCCTTTTCTCCCTCTTCCTCTCTTCCTTGTCTCCCTTGTGTGTTCTGTCGTCCTCTCTCCCTCCCTCTGCTCCCATCCTCCCCATCCCCCCAAGCCTCTCTCTCCCCACTCTCCCTCTCTCGTATGTATGCATGCATGTACATAGGTATGTATGTATGTATGTATGTATGTATGTATGTATGTATGTATGTATGTATGTATGTATGTATGTATGTATGTATGTATGTATGTATGTATGTATGTATGTATGTATGTATGTATGTATGTATGTATGTATGTATGTATGTATGTATGTATGTATGTATGTATGTATGTATGTATGTATGTATGTATGTATGTATGTATGTATGTATGTATGTATGTATGTAATGTATGTATGTATGTATGTATGTATGTATGTATGTAATGTATGTATGTATGTATGTATGTATGTATGTATGTATGTATGTATGTATGTATGTATGTAATGTATGTAATGTATGTATGTATGTATGTATGTATGTATGTATGTATGTATGTATGTATGTATGTATGTATGTATGTATGTATGTAATGTATGTATGTGTATGTATGTATGTATGTATGTATGTATGTATGTATGTATGTATGTATGTATGTATGTATGTATGTATGTATGTAATGTATGTATGTATGTATGTATGTATGTATGTATGTATGTATGTATGTATGTTGTATGTATGTATGTATGTATGTATGTATGTATGTATGTATGTATGTATGTATGTATGTATGTATGTATGTATGTATGTATGTATGTATGTATGTATGTATGTATGTATGTATGTATGTATGTATGTATGTATGTATGTATGTATGTATGTATGTATGTATGTATGTATGTATGTATGTATGTATGTATGTATGTATGTATGTATGTATGTATGTATGTATGTATGTATGTATGTATGTATGTATGTATGTATGTATGTATGTATGTATGTATGTATGTATGTATGTATGTATGTATGTATGTATGTATGTATGTATGTATGTATGTATGTATGTATGTATGTATGTATGTAA